TAATACGCTGAGTTATGACACTGTTTAGCGTCCATAATCTGCTACTTTATTGGACTAGTCCATAATGATAAAGTAATTTGGACTCCTGTCACTGTCAATTTCTTTGGAAAATGCATTTTAAAATTACGATCTGTTTTAAAGAAGAAGTACACGGAACAGAATGCTATAATTTAAAGAACACATATCTATATTATACATTTCAATAATTATAGATAGGTACCTACTCAATTAATGTTAATAACACAGTTGTTGGTAATGTTAATTCCCGATGTACCTTTTTGATGCAATATTTCGGTGGTGTCTACGGCTTTTAAATTTCTGAACGAAGAATTTGCCATAACGATTCCCGTTCCCAAAATTTTGCTGGCAACACTAATTTTTGAATTGTCAGATCTCTGTCAGAATCTCCTTTTCTTTTGAGGTAAGGAATTAGGCTGGGAAATTTGCTTATATCCACTCCCTCATTTAAATTAATTGTCGATCGTAACATCGAGTACTTACTCCATAAAGGAGAACTTTTATAGGAGACCAACTCACTCAAGTACGCCAATATACAGTCTTCCGTGGTGCAATTGATTTTCTTCCCCCAGTACCACCTTCTGTATTCCCTGTATGCCGCCTCGTATACAGTTTTTGATTTGCTTGGTAAAAGCATTTCTCTGGCATTGCAGGCTAATTGTTGTATACTGTTGGACCCATCAATTTCTTCTGGACTCATCTTGGGATTCATAATTAGGTACAGAGAATTAGTTAATACCCAACGAAATTGACACTAGGTACACATCAACAGATTTTTTTCCAAACAACACGTATCTATGACAACACAAAAGGCACACTATGTTATTTCTGGTTATTAAATAGTGAAATCTATACCAAATTTCAGCAAATTTTCAATACATACATGAACTACATTTTCCGAGTCGAACATAAAGCTAAGTATGTTACTCGTACATAATCAGACTTTATTATCTCGTCTTTTTTATTGGCCTCGCGCGCAAGCGCGCTCTGCCAATAAATTCGACTCGTCCAATAAAGTCATAGATTATGTACTTGTAACATAAATAGCTATTTTTGCCAATTTACACGGCCTTTCTACATTTTTCAGTAGATCTCCAAAGTACCGCCGTTCTGGACGAATTTGTTAAAGTTCGCTTACCTAGAGCTGCACCGACAAGATGGTACTTTAATACACGCTGTGTAGAGACTGTTTTTTCTAGATCTAGATTCTAATACCATGAATCAGGCAATTGGATTAAAGACTTTCTTACAAAGCGATAATTTTTTGTGTTGGTTGAACTTTTTTCATTTAATAATGCCACATTGCGATGTTCTTTTCAATCAACTTCAAAAACGTGGAATTATGTTAGTTCGGTTAAAAATTACATAGGTTCATTTAAAACTTCAATTCAAAATGTTAGAGACAAAATATTAACCGAAATATCATTGGAAATGCCTTCATCTTCCACATCTGCTAAAAGACCTAGGAAAAATGAAGATTCTAATCGTCACTTGCTTTGGAAGTGTGTGATATAATAAACTCCGAAATAGCCCACCGTTTTAGTTTTAGTGACCATTTAGTAGTCGCCCAATTATTTCATAGTGACCAGTTTCAACAATACAAAAATAATTTTCCAGGCCATGTTTTAAAATCAGTCAAAGAAAACTTTCCATGTATAAATAATTTAAAGCTACAGACCGAATTAAAAGTTATTTATGAACGGGATGATTTTGGTAAAAGTTCTGGAGCCGTACCAATGCTCCAATTATTTATTAATCTTAATCTTATCGAAACTTTTTCGGAAACAGTCAAGTTATTGACTATACTGTGTACATAACCGATGACAACTGTTGAGAGCGAACGATGTTTCTGTACATTAAAAAGAATAAAGACGTTTTTGCGAAATACAATGGGACAAGATAGACGGTCTGCCTTGGCCATGTTAAGCATAGAGAAGCCGTTTATAAATAGTATTGTGAACTTTAATGAGCGTGTCATAGATCATTCTGCAAATAATAAAGATCGAAGGGTTGATTTAAAATTTAAAACTATTTGAAAAAATGTGTTGTTCAGTTAAATTAAACTGGTTGACTGTTTCGTTTTTTATTGTGTTATTTTCATATTGTGTTGACGAACTAAATACAATCTAGTTTATTTTTTTTTTCATTTAGAAGAACGTTTTCTTTTTACATGCTGTATTAGCACAATTAAGATTAAATCCAAATTAGCATTCCCATAAAACAAAATTTCGGTTTCGTTTCGCAAATTACGTTTTTGATTATGACCTCCCTATGAAAGTAACCACGAGCCGCCACTGCTCGATACCATAAGGAAAAACAAAAGGCAGTTTCCTTGTGAATTTGTTGAAGGAAAGAACAGACCCGTTGGTTCTAGCATGTTTGCGTGTCAAGAAAATGCAACGCGCCTTAAAACCATAAACAATCTCGAATGGCGTTTTCCCCGTAGTTTTATTAACCTGTCAATTTAAATTTCTCTGAACTTCCCCAATTTTACCACTGACAACCGGTATTATCACGCGATTCACTCGTTCAACCTGTCCGTTAGCTATGAGGCGCCGTTTGTTCCAAAATTAAACAGGTGCAGGGTAAGTTAAAATAGTAGAAAAAAACTTACACCGCTGCCAAATAAACTCTCCCCGACGTAGAAAAAAAAATTACACACCGCCGCCGCGGAATTACTTACCCCTGCAAAAAATTCACTCACCGCTGTAGCGCGGTGTCGAAACGCAGTTCATCTAGTCGCCGCCTATTGGCGCGCAAACCCGTAACGCAAATGCAGGACTCTGAATCAGTTAAGATATTTGCACGCACAAATACAGGTGTTGAGAACGTGTACGCATAGCCCACTTATTGCGCATTGCCTTTGTGAAAAAAGAAAAGGTAAGTGCATAAATAAAACATTTGATTTGTCGGTAAGGTAAGTGCGCGTTCTTAAGTAAAATCACAGATTTACAAGTTTATGGAAATCTGTGGTATCTACTTATTATATTATTACGGTAGGGGTAGGTTGGATCATGTTTACAAACACGTACCCCTTTGTCTTTATTATTTTATCCTACTTCATGGAATGTAGAATACCTTTCAAGTAGAGAATTATGGTTGTCATGCTTAGTATGTTTTCTATACTTAACTTCTATTCGAGTAGGTATTAATGTTACAGATAAAGTACACAATTTTGTTAATGGTCACACTGGCCTGTAAATGTGAATATTTAAGGTAAAAAAATTATAAATACAGCGTCCCCAATAGCAGGAGTAGTTAGGGGTGCATTTTTTTTTAAACTAAAGGAAGGGAAACTGCTTATGCCATGTATAGGGGGGGTGGGGAAACTGCACAAAAATGTTCCTTTCCTCACTTATTCACACTAACCGGTCAATGTACACATTAATCGAATTGTGTACTTTAACCGTATAACATTAATATTACATAGTAGCCTAGAGGGTGTCTATTTAATGGGATCAGAGGATTAATGAAAACGGTAAAAGATAGAACCAGGAAATAAAAGATATGTAGATACATTAACGCATGCATATCCGCATATGCTTTAAAATATTTTCGTATATACAGAGTGTTCACATTGTGATATACAATTCTTTTTTTAATGAAATAGTACAACTTTTAAAACGCCAATCGATTCATTTTTGGAAAACAAAACTTTGCTAGTGACATTTTGTCGTATTGTATTCATCCGAAAAAAGACAGATTCCAGATTATCTACATTTTTTATTAAATGTTTGTTGCAAATATTTTCCCAAGGCATGTACTTCATTATCGTTTCATTAGTCACAATTTCCAGATTTATAATGGCCGAAAGAGTAGAAGAGATTGTGTCGCAAATTCTCAACAGTCCAACTCTTCGCAATACATTGGAAACTGCGGTTCGACAAGCAACGCAGGGCTCTTCTGCGAGCCCAGATAGTAACCCGATTACGTCAGCAGTGCCACCACCATTGGCACGTAATGTTGCCACAACAACTAGAGAATAATTGAGACGTCTGTTCCCAACAATCAGATCTACCTCTGCAGCTGATCAATCAAATAGGATGATTGCCTCAAGGAAAAGAAAACGTGCACATTCTCCCGTGCATTCAAATTTCTGCAGGGATGTTCTATTATTGAAATCACCACGCACAATCTTGACGCTTAAAGGAAGAGAAAAAACCAAAGCATTTGAACAAGGTAACAGCAATGATTATTTGTATAAAGACTATTTCCCTCGTCTTAATTTCAACCAATCACAAACGCGCAATTTTGAATTACAAATGGTAGTTTTTTCGAGTTTACTCGCGCAAAACTTGGCAGCTGTCAGTATTTGTCACCAGAAATTATAATAAATACCTTTGATCTGTTACTCATGTCAAATACCATTCGGGCATCTAATTTTTTCCGCGAAACAAATAAAAAAAACACAATGCAAAGTAATATTTTTTAACAAAAATCATTCGTGCAGGTGCAAAAATCCTCACCTTCGACTCGGATTTTTGTTGCCACCTGCACTCATACTATTTGTTAAAATATTAGTTAGCAACGTGCTTTTTCGATTTTTTTCGGAAAAATTAGATACCCTTATGATATTACTTACGACTATATATTGAATTACATGTTAAATTTTTCAGGCTTTGCATTTTCGAAAGTAAAGTTTAACTCTGGGTGGAATCGCGAAGAAGTCAACACTGCATTTCGAGACTTGTTCCAATCACTTTTAGCTGATGTTGAATTTGAATTGCTAATTCCTATGAGTGGACGCTTAGTGAAGCCAAACCTTCCACCAGGTGGAGAGCTGAATGGGGATACAATTCGATCAATATTCAATCACAAAATGATTTATATTAGACCAACTGTTCAGCTAACGACTATTGATGTGACTGATTATCTAGCGTGTCCCGACGTTCTCAGTGATAGTTCCCATGAAGATGTGGATATAGCAAATCCCGAGGCAAATCCAGCCTCATCTGAAAGTCCAAATGAAACCCAAGATGAACACCCTGCATTGGTAAACTCTTATTAGGATGTTGAATTATTTCACTGCACTGATAATGATTTCTTAATAGTCACTTGAACAAAGCGAAACGACTTCTGGGACAAACGAGGGACATTCCGAATCCGAGATGACCCTGAAGAGTCTATTACAGAACCTGAATGAGCAGATTACTGAAGAAGGTTAATATTTAAAAGTTTATACATTCCCAAGATTAAGTTCACTCGACCATTTGTTTTCTCAACCTAAAAAACCTTTCCTTATAAAATTGTTGCAAAATGTTGAATGTGACGATGTTTTATTTAAAAATGAAAGCCTTTTAAATAATTTCAAAAATTCTTTGGTATTTTTTTAATATATCAAAATTTTGACTAATGACTATGCACTAATAATATCTTTAAGGATCGGCTATGCCTACCAAACATTTTTTTTTAATTCATTTAAAATTAAACTAACGTGAAAAAAGTGGGTTGTAGGAAGTGAACCTCATCTTCGTCAATACCACTTATACCCTACTGCATACATTTAGTGCTTCCAAACATATGACACATCATTATATCTGTTTCTAGGAGTGACAATGTTCAATATATACCGTGAAGGTATCTTCGATTGCTGCCTGAGAGCTCTAAAGCGTTCATCTTTCTCGCCCTTTCATAAAATATCAGTGAACTTCAGTGATATTGAAGGAACAGGTGAAGGAGCCGTAGATGCTGGAGGTCCTAGTCGAGAAATGTTCCGACTAGTTCTGAACCATATTAAAGAGAGCTCCATGTTCTGTGGATCTGATAAAAAGTATATCCGACTAGACATGAGAGCAATGAATGAGAGGCATTATTACGCAGCCGGACAAATGATTGCCCTTTCTTTAATCCATGGAGGAGACGGGCCTCATTTTTTTTCACAGAGTTTTTATTCAGTTCTTCGCCAGGATATTGCGGAGGGCTTTCCAACTATCAATGATATTGATGACCATCATATTCGGGATGAATTAAATAAATTGTCAAATGCTACCGATGCATCTGTCATTCAGGATATATTGGATAAAAATCAGTTTTTCACCATAGCAGGGTATGAAGTTATAACAGACATGAAAACTAAAGATCAATTGTTGGATGGTAAGTTTTCAGTTTTGGGTAATTGTTCGGCTCACCAGAGTTTGGATATGTCCTCTAGCACTAGCCTATACATGACAGTGTGATTGAAATATTTACCAGTAGGTAATTAACAATGAGGAAAGTTGAATTTATATGCATATTTAGTGTTGATCAATTTCTCACAACTTCTTTTTATGATCGAGCGGCTTGTGATATCCCTACATATCGTAATTAAAAAAATTGTGCTGAGTCGAATAATTTGTCTCCCATTCATGAGATGCTTCATTCTCATTCTTTTGGTTTCAGATGTAACAAAATTCTACGCCTTCCATCGAATAAGACCGGCCTTGGGGCAGTTCCGAGAAGGTTTGAACACAGGAATGATATACGAGCTACTGAAGAGTCACCCAAACCTCTTCCAGAATACTATGTGCCAGACTGAAGATATAACAAGTAATACACTGGAAAAATTGTTTTCTATTATGTATAGCGAACAAGGCAGTTCTAAGCGGTCCATTGAGAACCGTATAATAAGCTTCTGGAGAGATTTCTTGCTTGACTGTGAAGGTATGTATAGGCATTCACGCAACTGATCTGTCTTTTGAAATTTGGTTCTTTTTCAGACAATGTAACAGAGGTAACACTAAAAGACGTCATTATTTTCATTACGGCAGCTGAAACTGTTCCACCTCTGGGCTTCAGCATTGCACCAAAAATTACATTTTTACACGATGATGCCACGCTCTATCCAAAAGCCAACACATGTGCTTTAGAAATATCGCTGCCTACCTGTCACTCATCCTATGATAAATTCAAACAACATATGGCATTTGGAATAGGCAACTGCAAGGATTTTGCATTTGCGTAATTTGACTGGCAATGTTGCCGAGAATGTGCAATTAAGTTTTAGTTCTGATTTTTCGAAAATAAAATTTATTTAGTTTTCCTTTTATTGAGAATTCCTTTTCAATTAACCCTTTTCTATTATATTAAAATCACTCAACCTAAAAGCTGCTGCCTCTTCAAAAACCACAAAGCACTACGACTATGTATGAACAATTCTCAAGATTCTGAACAATATGTGGATCAATAACATTGGATTATAAAATTTCAAAATAAATTGATAATACTAATCACTGGAGGATGGAGGTACAGGATATCTGCTATATCAGTTATGTAACTTATCTTTTATAAAGATCTCCAAAACTTACAAATGTTGTATACGCAATCTTGAAGTTTATCAAAAAAGAGTAATTCAATGAACAGAAAGCATTAGTTATCTTTCCTCACGTTAGTATAGAATGTCAAAGTATCGTAGTTAACCGTAGGTACTGTCTAGTAAAACTCATCCTTTCCTCTATGAATGCATTACATTAAATTTAAATTACACTAAATCTGAATACTGTGCTTCAAGATAAAAAATTTTATCTGTAGTAATGTGAGCTGCGTTTCTGTTTGTTCGTTTGACCTTTCGACTTCTGAAAAGTGTCGACCACCTTCTTTATGGAAAATTCGACTTGAAAACTAAAGTGAATAAAAATACAGGATACTGTACATTACAGTCTATAAATTCAGTAAAACGTTTCAATCTTACAGTATAGTTTATTGTTTCAATAATTAACATAAATTATAGCTGTAACAAGGTATGTAATAGATTTCTAATAACTCCGTAATGAATGATGCCTTGAGCATAATCATCTGCAACCGGGTCTGGAACTGCGTCCACTATTTGCTGCATTTGTTCTGGTGTAATATTTATATTTGATGTAGGAATTACAACATTATTCTCTGTAATAATTTCAAAATGAGATTCTGTCTCTTCAGTGCCATAACCGTGAATGTCATCTGAAAGTACATCATCATGGCCACTCCCATTCATGAAAGATAAATGCCAAAGCTGCAATGGAGATTTGCCATGCATAGTGCTTAGACCGTGATTATTCCATTGATCAACAAATTCCTTCAACGAGTTTCTAATTCTCGGTAAAAAAACATATTGTAAAGAGAATAGGTCGATTTCACTATATTCGTCTAATAAATTATGTTCTTCCATATTTAAAAATAAAGTTTTATAATGGTAAGACACCACGCGATTCACTTCTGCCCACAATCTCTCTATTCGTTGATTGTGTACTGACTTACCGGTGATGTAGCTACCCCGGTTTAAACCATTTTGATTCAGTATGAAAGTTGCGACAGCTATATTTTCAGTCCCATGATCACCTCTTACACGATTTGGTAAACCAAAGGTAGAAACTCCTTTCTCAAATAACTGCATGACTGTATCCGCCTTATTATCAGTCATACACTCTAGGTAGATAATTGCCCTACTATATCCATCTATGCAACCATGATATACGAATCGAAACTGTATCAGTTTGTGGTTGGAGTCCATATGCCTGTAACAATTAATTTTCATCATTTTTGTGTATGTTCGCATATCTATAACTAGCAATGTCGAAAGAATAGTTTGCCCATTTTTGGAAGCAAAGAGATAAGTTGCATTATACGGATACATCCAATTGGACAGAGTTATGCAGAAATGAACCAATCCACATCACTGTGAAAATGAGAAAACAAGTCGTTTAGCAAATGCTATCAATTCTAAGCATCAAAATCAAAATTTTACTTGCACTCCATGCCCTAGAAGAATACATATTCTTGTTGCAGGGCATTTTGATATTTCAAAGAATTTATTGGAAAAAAATTTTTGTGGGTTGGTCCCTATCTGCATAACTCTGGCGAATTGTAATTGCCGTTGCGACAATAGAAAGTTCAAATGTTCTTCTTAAAGATAACCAGATAGATAATTACTCACCACAAATGATTAGCACCTTTTACATTATATACTCTTCTCTTGATGGTGATTTTCTTTCGTAGAGCTCGTCCTACAGGGTCAATTTCTTGCAAAATTTCACGAACTCTCGATCGCGGTGCAGTTATTTTTCTAGCTCGGAGACTACCAAGAACATATATCTCACCTGCATTTGGTGTTTCATCCAATATCTTTTGGATAGTTGAGTATAGCTCATCATAATCAACTGGATTACTGCATATTTCATATTTGGTTTTTAAGCGATATAACGTACTCCTTGATATATTTAAAAATCGACTCATAGCAGACCAATTCAATCCAATAGATTGTAATATAAGTAGTTGTTCTTTCGGAATATCGTGGCATGGTCTGCCCACTCGGCCAGTGTTGGAGCTTGTAGCTTGTCCTCCAACTGGAAGAGAATGAATCGATTGGCGTTTTAAAAGTTGTACTATTTCATTAAAAAAAGAATTGTATATCACAATGTGAACACTCTGTATATACGAAAATATTTTAAAGCATATGCGGATATGCATGCGTTAATGTATCTACATATCTTTTATTTCCTGGTTCTATCTTTTACCGTTTTCATTAATCCTCTGATCCCATTAAATAGACACCCTCTAGGCTACTATGTAATATTAATGTTATACGGTTAAAGTACACAATTCGATTAATGTGTACATTGACCGGTTAGTGTGAATAAGTGAGGAAAGGAACATTTTTGTGCAGTTTCCCCACCCCCCCTATACATGGCATAAGCAGTTTCCCTTCCTTTAGTTTAAAAAAAAATGCACCCCTAACTACTCCTGCTATTGGGGACGCTGTATTTATAATTTTTTTACCTTAAATATTCACATTTACAGGCCAGTGTGACCATTAACAAAATTGTGTACTTTATTTGTAACATTAATACCTACTCGAATAGTATAGAAAACATACTAAGCATGACAACCATAATTCTCTACTTGAAAGGTATTCTACATTCCATGAAGTAGGATAAAATAATAAAGACAAAGGGGTACGTGTTTGTAAACATGATCCAACCTACCCCTACCGTAATAATATAATAAGTAGATACCACAGATTTCCATAAACTTGTAAATCTGTGATTTTACTTAAGAACGCGCACTTACCTTACCGACAAATCAAATGTTTTATTTATGCACTTACCTTTTCTTTTTTCACAAAGGCAATGCGCAATAAGTGGGCTATGCGTACACGTTCTCAACACCTGTATTTGTGCGTGCAAATATCTTAACTGATTCAGAGTCCTGCATTTGCGTTACGGGTTTGCGCGCCAATAGGCGGCGACTAGATGAACTGCGTTTCGACACCGCGCTACAGCGGTGAGTGAATTTTTTGCAGGGGTAAGTAATTCCGCGGCGGCGGTGTGTAATTTTTTTTTCTACGTCGGGGAGAGTTTATTTGGCAGCGGTGTAAGTTTTTTTCTACTATTTTAACTTACCCTGCACCTGTTTAATTTTGGAACAAACGGCGCCTCATAGTTAACCCTTGGATGGCGCGTCGAATTTAAGGTGTGTTTGATGCCGTTCATTTCACAAAATGTTTCGAATTCTCGCGAGGTAAAACACGTTCCCCGGTCTGTAATTACACGTTCTGGTAATCCGTAAAAATTCACATATTCCTGAAAACGGAAAGTACGCCCTTAGTCTTTGTACTCTTCACGGCCCACATTCATACAAATTTGGAAAATGCGTCCATCGCTACTAGGAGATGTGTATTTCTCTTAGAAGTCGTAGTCGTCACAAAGGGTCCTAGATAGTCGAAATGGATTCGTTCAAGGAATATGGGTGTAACAGCCCCTGTTGTTTACCCTCTGGGATATTGTTCAAGGCACACGCTAACCACGCTCGAATGTGTTGTCTCGCATATCCGCACTCCTGTAAAGCAGTACAATTCCAAAATTTTGTCGGGTGATCGAGACAAAGGGCGCGTTCAGCCGACGCAACAGTTGAGACTGGTGACTTGTTGTTTCCTCTGAACGCAATTTGTTGGGTTGTGGTGCGGTGCAACCGTTGCTAAACTTTCCCACCAGAAAAATAGTACGTTGACTTTTGTAAACGAAGTATTTTAACCTTAATTTTCGACTGTTGCTGTGCATACCGTGATTTTTGTACTACTGCTGTTTTTAAAAATACAATGGACACAAATATGAATAATAAGAACTTGAAATCAAAAGTAATTGTTTTGAAGGATTATTTTATAATTAATAATAAATTGGTGGCAAAAAATGCAGGTATTATAGGAGGTATGTTTTATTATAGAAATTAATACTGTTTTTTAGCGACAACTGAAATGCAATCACCTTCAGTTGAAGAAGAGTTAGGTGGAGGGGAAGGATTACAAACTGAAGTTACCCAAAGTGCAGAGAATATCGACAATGTGTGAGATGATAGTGCTACTCTGCTATTACTGGACGAGTACGAAAACCACAAGTATACGTGTTTATAAAAGAAGGATTTCCAAAAGGATTACCGATAATTTTCCTAACTATGAATTAGTCAAACCTACGAAAGCGCTGTGGGGCCAAGATCTTTTAAATATTATCTAACAATTGTCAGTTCTTATCTGATAATTGTCAATTAGTATCTAACAATTGTCAATTAATATCTAACAAGTGTCAGTTTTTATCTAGCCTTGTTCTCCTACATAACATTTACTGATTTGTCTATAGTGAATCTAAGTGAAGTCACCTGATGCTGTTGCAGGGGAGGGAAACAGTTCATTCTCAGCAATCTTTCTAGAATGTAAGACATAAATCGTGCAAGGTACCATTATAAATTATTTCCAACTTCGAGAATATAAACATACCTACTCTAACCTAAAAGAATACACTTTTCTTTGAAGATAGGTACAATTTAAACACAATTTTCACACCATTGGCGCTCCTTCGATTTTCAATATATCAATTTAAAACTTTCACGTACAACACTGTAATTACCACAACTACATTTCCACAAAACGGTTCAAATGTTACTCTTTTTTTTGTGTAAAATAATCGATATACTGTTTAAATAATTTCAATTAGCTTTACGTTATATTTACACACATTTTTTCTTTCAAATTAATCAAATACCTCTAGATATTACCTTCAAACAATTCTATAATTATTTTCTTCATAACCCCAACTAACTCTAAAAACTAATAAATGTTCCAATTTCGCATAAGATCTTTAATACGAAACCATAACAGTAAAAACAAATTCATAAATTGATTGTCAATAATATTTAGATACTCTTCACCTTTTGATACAAATATGAAATGAAAAATATTGAAAATTAAAATTTTACATTCCATCATCATACAGTAAGTTTTTTTGAAAATTAATCGTAGGATTTTACTTGCTAATTTTTTAACCCCCTGTTAACTTTTATCTTTAAGAAAATATTCAATCCATTTATCGGAGCTCATAAAGTATAAAAAATTAACATGTAAAATCATAAGACCCAATCGTAAAAAACTCACTGCATGTAAACATATTAAAAATCAACAAAAATTTTAAAAAAAATTTGATAAATTAATCTACACAAAGAATATTCACATATTTTCTAAATAATTGATTGATTGAACTTTCAAACGTGTATATATTCAAAACGCAATATGTAAAAAACATTGTCACTATTATCAAAATGTATTAAACTTACAATATAATTTGTACACAAATCATGTCAACAGATTTGTTCCTAAAGAAATTTATTTCTCAAAAAAATTAAAATAGTTTCCTTTGAACCACCGAAATGAAATATTTACAAAATATTAAACAATACCTAAAACTAATAAAAATACACACATACAAAATATTTATAAATAAATTTCTCAAAAAAATAAAAATAAAAACCAATACTAAATTAATAAAAATACACACAAATTATTTACAAACTAATAAAAACACAAATTTTTTACAAATAAACTATTTACAAAACAAAATTTTTAAAATAATATTTTACATTTTAGTAACAAAGAACTTATGGATAATCTGCGAGTGGATACCAGAAACAAAAACTTAAGCGATGTACTTTTTGTACCACGTAAGAACGGCCCCACCGTAATTCTAATGTTAATAAAAACCGAAGAAAAAGAAAGTACAAATTTAAAGATGCTTTACGCGTCTTTAGAAAATTTAAAAAGACAATTAATAGAAAACAAAATCAATACAAAATTGGCTACAAATGAGACTCTAGGATTAAATATGGAATCCTCGATAACCAGAAAAATTTTACAACATGTACTAGGAGGTACGCCCTACAGAGTGACAATTTGCAAAGAAATAAAGAAAAAGGTAAACGTGTAATATATTTCCACAATATTTTTTAATTTTATATAAAATTACAGCAGAATTTCAAATCAGGACCAAACAGAGGTGGCCAACACAAAGGGTAAGTTTTAAATAATCAAATTAACGTCTTAAATTATTACAGAAAAATTTACAGGAAATATTACAAACCATACTTTAGAAATTAAGTTAGTTTTAATGTTATTTTAGTTTTTTTGTTCATAGTTTTTAGTTATATATTGTAATTGTTTATATTACTCTCGTCAGAAAAGATTGCCGGTCACAGCACACCTTATGTCGATCTACAATGTATGTTTTTCTTAAAATGCGAACGACTTACGGAATAAGATCATTCCAATGTTGAACGAAAAATCCTTTCTTTCAACATTAATACGATACTATCCCGAAAATCGCTCACATATTTAAAAAAACGTAGATTGTACACCGAGATAAGGTGTTTTATGACCGGCAATCTCTTCTGGCGAGAAGTTTAGTAGTTTAAGTACCTTATTACTCTCGTCAAGAAAGATATCCGATCACAGCACACTTGATGCCACTATATAATCTAAGTTTTTTTTAAGATACAAACAACTTCCGGAATAGGACCAAATCAATGTTGAACGAAAAATCTTTTCGATCAACATTGATACGATACTATCCCGGAGGTCGTTCGCATTTTAAGAACAACATAGATTGTAAATCAGAATCAAGTGTTCTATGATCGGATATCTTTCCTGTCGAGAGGTTTAGTAAAATAGTTTGTAGTTTGTTTTATATGTAGATGTATTAATAGGTATTTATCTATTAAGGGCATAATAGTGATGTTTATATTCTTGAGAATCACCCGAGAGTATAAACATCAATTTATGCCCATGGTACATACACAATTTTAAGGTTTACAAATAGTTTCCTTCGTTAAAATTCATTTACAAAATAATTCATTATGTTTGATCGAGCATGCGTGGTTAGAATTTGTTAATGTGATTGAAACCATCCAAACTTAATTTTAAATAATTCAATTCATTGTGAATGAGCAAGATGTTTCAGAAACTATACAAAATAAGACCAATCTTATGATTTAGTAGATATTGACAATTAATAATTAACGTTTCTAATCTTCAATGATCTGCAAATATTTGTTTGTTTTGTTATTAAGTATAAATGAGTTACTATGATGATAGCTAATGTCCTAGGACATAAAGTGATACTTTATGCCCGCATATCACCGATATAAAATGTGCTATGATAGCTTAGTAAGACATAAAATATATAAAATACAGTTTTTCTATTCAATTTTTTTTATTAAACATTGAATATGTAAAGATTTACTAGACTTTCTTCATATTGCAACAAAAAGAAACAATTAATAATTCAAATTACCTTTAAGTATATATTACATTGTTTTCAGTTCCCATGTCGGATCGCACAGTTACAGGACAACCTTGTAATTATTTTACAGCTTTTAAATAGAATCCAGCTATTACTTTCGGATTGTTGGTAGTAGGAGAAGCCCTAACACAAATGATTTTTCTAGAAAATCCATCAATGCATCCACTAATCCCAATACCGTAGGGTTTTAACTTGTCATACGAATCAATGTGCCAGATATAATTCGGTTCTTTACTAAAGTATTCCCTTCTTAATCTTCTTCGTTTTCTAATAGTTACACCTTGGGGGTCCAGAATTTTTAGTCATACGAATAGTTTCTTGCTTCACTGTAAATCCAGCGTGTAGACAACGAGATGCTTCCACCTATAACCATGCAGGTAACCTGGCCCGATTAATTCATTTCTTAGGAAACGTACTATAGTATTAATATCGGTATAGAATTTTTAGCTTCCTAGCATGTGCTAGGTAGCTATTGCGATAGCCGTTTTTTGAACATTTCAAAATTTCATCAAATGTCGACGTTTTAGACCATTTTAAGCAACTTTTAAAGAATAAAATTTTTTCCCGTCTGTATGTACGTACGTACGTTTGTTGGCAATTTTCTGAGAAAACGGCTCGACGGATTTTGTTGAAATTTTGTATATATGTTTTAGGCATACCGAACGGTGGGTTTTCCTACCCTAAGCGCATATTGAAAATTTATATGGCCAAGGGAAATGTCCTTCAAGATTTCGTTAATTCGGTCTTCCTCTTGGAGGGCTTCAGTAATTCCAAACATAATCACATTTTTTTCACGGATCATACGGGAATGCATCTCCTGGACAACCTCGGACTTACTTGAATTGAGTTTGGTTTCGAGTACGGCAATTTTTTTATGAAAAACGACGTTTTTCTTGCTTCAAATTGTTAATGTTTTATACGCATTTGTCGATTTTCTCACCTTGTTGCAAAATCGTGGACTGCATTTCAGATATATTATGGTTTAATTGAGTGAGTTGAAGTATGATGGTATTAATATCGTCCAGTTTAGATAATTTGCAATAGCTTCCAGTTGTAGCGACAATGCTGTATTCATTGCTAAAATATTTATTAACGGAACGATAAGGTCAAGCGTGTTATCAATGTTGCACGTGGGTTTATTATTGATAACCTTCAATAGATGTAAATTTTATATGAAAACAAACGATAAGTATCTCACCAAAGCAATCCAATCTACTAATCACACATAAGTTTAATAATCTTGGTCACTTTTTCTCAGAAATATTAGTTTCGCACAAGCTATTGTATTAATTGATTATAATTCGGCGGTACCAAACGTTCCTCCCGAAAAATTAAATTTATATGTTTCAAAATAATTATACCAAGGGAGGGATGTTATGTATTAGAGTATAAGCGACAACGTTGCAGAAGTGTTATACGCAACGGTAAAGGAGACACTTCTCCCCCGGTTAAGAATGTGACATGATGGATGTATATTTTACCATCAAGGAGTTTAAATTTAAATGTACGCAGACATTATTATTTATTTATTTACGGACACAACATAGTGTAACAGGGATTTGTCCATATAATCCCGACACTTTTTCTGAGGAAGATTTTGCTCCGGCCGAACTAAACCAAACTCGGACAGTTGAAGTCACCGCTGTAAAAGGGATGCAAGCTGGATCCGACGCCATGGCGGAGGGCCAAAAACAACAAATTTCATTTGATGAAAGCTTGAGTTTGCCAGGAACTTCACAAACTCCGCAAGTAGCTCCAAAGAAGAGAAATGCAAGCAAACAACATTCCACTATTCTTACTTCCACTCCTAACAAAGATGTTCTGGAAATCAGTCATACATTCACGAACCTTATGAATGCAGAACACCCATTTTCAATACTCACGAGCCGCCACTGTGAACACATTAAATCAACCTGTACGTATTGCAGGAAAGTCGGACATATCGAATTAGCGTGTTTTGCGAAAAAGAAGGACCAACATCAAACACGCAAGGTGCATCAGGCCACCGAAGAATCTACGTCCAATGCCGAGCCGGTTTCGGATAACACAGTGTTTTTTTATCAAGGCAGCGACTACAATTTTTCGTTAAATAACATGACGTCTGATAGCATTACCGGTAAGCGTTCTGTACTATTATTCAGAGCAGCTCTGGTCTGATTCGCGGTATACTATGGCTTCACGTTATGCGCAAATTGATAATACATTATGTACTGCGATTCACGATCCCAGGTAGCACACAATCTTGGAGAAAGGGTTTATATCGGCCCAATGTAAATATGTTGGCGCAATATTGCATATCGTTTTATATATTGGACCTACATGTTTAAATCTATGTAAAATTCATATAGAACATTATCAATCAAGGACATATGTTGTAAATCCAACATTTTCAAAGTTTATGTTGATCAATATACGTAGAATATCTAATATAATTCTATATACATACTCGTAATTCTGGTATGGGCGCAATCTGGAATGACCAATAAATTCTATATGGATATTTCTAATAATGGTTCAATATTGGTTTAATATTAAGTAACCAACATGGTTAATATCGACGTTGTATTTATAATGTTTATATCAATATACAAAAAAACTATATACGCGCAATGTTGGTCAATCAATGTAGTCTCACACATATTTCCAATATTGGTTTAATATTGTATAGTCAATATGTTTATTATATTGATATTTTGGGTATTGGATCTATATTGTATTAATAGACATAGAATAAAACAATACTGGCGCAATGTTGGTCTAATGTTTGAATTCGATATCTTATTATATTGATATTATCGACATTGGGCCTATATTGTATTAATCAATATAGGAAGCACAAGATTGCCCATATATAATTAAAAATATGAAACAGCACTTTTAAGTAGGTATAGCATCATTTCGGAGAGTTTGCACAACGCTGTATAAGCGCGTCATTAGCCATATCTGCACTGCACTTAACGTATATGTGACCTTTATTTCGTTCTTGTTGATGTGTATTGTCGGCGAGTATTTTGTCCATCGTGTTAGAAGCTGAGAATAAAGGGTAAGTACCTTATATATATATGGGCAGGTGGGGTAAAGGTAGACAAATGTCTACATTTACCCCATCTTTTAACTTTGCTTTACTGGTATTAAAATACAGTAATACCCTGGGAAGCAATTCTTTGTGTAGCTCAAAGGTGGGGTCTGTGATCTACTTATTAACATAGCCCTAATCAATCTACCACCAGTTCTTGTTATGATATTAATTTTTTTTTTTTAATTCAGAAATTGTCTACCTTTGCCCCATAACTTGGGGTAAATGTTGACAAAGCAGATTGTTCCATATCTCATAACGTTAACTTAACCGGGGTATAGGTAGACAAATTAGACACTGTGCAAAACAACCTAGAAACAAGTGCACTTTAAAATTTTAAGGGAGAAATAAGTTACGAAGTCGGAAAGAGTACAAGTTTATAGAAAGTAATTAAATATATTCTTAAAAGATTTTAGATTAAATAAAAGAACTCAAAACTATGTAATTCCAGTCATACCTAGATATAAAAATATAACGGCTAAGTGTTTTTTTCAAATTTCATCCATTTCTGTTGATTTTTTTCCGGTCTGGGAGATACAGAAAATGGATGAGACCCTATCAGAGTAACAGGGCCAAGGAAACAAGCGGATTTTGATACCAAATCAATATCGTCACGTTTAGGCCATCTAAATTTGTTTTCTGGCATACGTTCCAAAAACTTTAACCTAACTTCATCGTTTATAGACTCAATTATGCAACCAATGTACCACTTTTTTATATAATCCACTGCATAATAACTGCCAACAGTAAATTCAAATTCTTTAATTTTGTCTTCTGCCCTTTTATCATCATTTGGATCACTGGTGGATTTTCCATCACTGATCTTTTCCTTGCTAATAGATCCTTCTGCATCGTCTTTTTCACCGTTAAATTTTTCAAATTTCATCCATTTCTGTTGAATTTCGTCTGGGAGATACAGAAAATGGATGAGACCCTATCAGAGTAACAGGGCCAAGGAAACAAGCGGATTTTGATACCAAATCAATATCGTCACGTTTAGGCCATCTAAATTTGTTTTCTGGCATACGTTCCAAAAACTTTAACCTAACTTCATCGTTTGTAGACTCAATTATGCACCCAATGTACCACTTTTTTATATAATCCACTGCATAATAACTGCCAATAGCAAATTGCTCATTTTGGTCTATTAATTCCTCATTATTATCGAGATCGCTCGTGGGTTTTCCAATACTCATGTTTTCCTTGTCAATAGGTTCTTGTTCAGCATTTTCCTTGTTTCCATTGCATTTTTCATTATTTGAATCCTTATCTAAGTCAAGATTGAAGTCGTCATCATAATAGGAATTTCCTATAAAACTACAATGGTCGCTTGAAGGTAGATTCTCAACTTCATTATAGAGCTCGTTATCCTCAGAGGAGTCGGATGACTCTTCTGTAATTGCCTTTTTCTTGACTTTTGATGCTTTTGTTGGTTTAGGTTTCATATCTACTTTCTTTGATTTATCCCGTACTTTTGCATTTTTGTTTTTCTTATGTGTTTTACTATCTCTTCGTGCTTCTTCCTCCTCTAAGCGTTTCCTAACTTCTTTGCTGGTAAGCACTTCACCATATGTTTCCTTTTTTAGTCTTATTTGCCTTTCTTTGGATTTTTCAATCGGTTTTGGGGTAAATTCTTTTCTCATCTTATGTAAGAAAACGTCCATAACTGATCTCCTTCCATCAGAAGTAGTTGCTTCACTGTCTTCTTCGATTCTGGGTTTCTTAAGAGTTTTAAGAACTGGAGTGGCAGTTAGTGGT